TACTACTACTACTACTACTACTACTACTACTACTACTACTACTACTATACTACGACCACTACTAGTACTACCACTAGTACTAGCGCTAGTACAAGCACTACCGCTACTGGTAAAAGTACATGCTGGCTGGTTGTTTTCGGGGGGGGGTCAAAATAACAACGACGGGGTTGCAGATTTTGTTTCCACCCCTTGTAGTGACAAAGGACCAAGATATCTTGTAACGGGGCTGCAGTTTTTGTTTGTACGTTGTTGTTGTTGTTGTTGTGGTTGTTGTTGTCTTCTTCTTTGTTGTTGTTGTTGCTTGATGTTGTTGTTGGTTGTTCTCTCGTACTGGATCTGGGTCTGAATCCTTGTTTTTTGTGGTGAAAAGCTCTTGGGGGTCTTATCTGTGTAGTAATTGCCCAACGCAGGTGGTTCACCCTTCTTGCGGTTTAGTTTGGGTTCTCTTGTTGGCTGCTCGTGGCCTCCACACCGAAGGCCAAAAGTTCACGATCACTCTCTGATATGATACGTTTGTCATCCAAACGTCGGTCTTTGCAGTTCTTGCTCTTGTATGGAAGCGGACTGGGAGGAGTTGACTGAGTGGGGGCCCTGCGGTTTCGGCGTGAGCATTGCGCTGCTGGCTGATCGAACCTAAACCCTAAATAGCCAAATTCATTCCAGACTTGTAAGCGCTTGCAACGTCGACAATTAAAAACTTTGGTTCGTTTGCTTGATGAGTTCTTGTCAATCACAACGCTTTAAGCCTTTAAACTTGTGTTCATGGTCCCCACAAATTTGTTTTCAACCCAAGAAACTGGGATGACCGAGTCCACGATGGCATTGGCCTCCTTCTCGGACAACTCCACATTTTGCGTCCTCCGACAAAGTGCCGTACAGATTTGCTGGAAAGTCCGCTGCCGGCCGTTTGCCGTTCTGATACCCAGTCGCGAACAAATTCCAGAAACCTTTAGGAGGTATATTGGAGATGACTCAGAGAGGGACTCCCCGATCACATGTCGTGAAACAGAGGCTTTCGCAAGGCCTTCTTTGGCCCTGTTCGGTTCTGAGGGGATGGTATCAACCTTATACATAATGCTAGGTGACCAAAAACCAAAACCCGTCACAACACCATGGTTTTGGTAGTGGTCCTCTAAAAAGCAATGCGCTCTAGAATTAAAGACACCAATTTTTCTGGTTTATGGATGAATTGCGTAAAACAAAAAACAATGTAAACGTTTGGGCCGTTTGGGGCTCAAACACTATAGGGAACTTCGGCTCAGTCTAAGCTCGCGCGGACCCGAACATGTGTCAAACATATTCAAACGCTAGTTGAGATGAAACAGAATGACCGTTAGATTAGCAAGAGACATGATACAAAATGTCAAGTGGAGTGCCAGAAAGCCTCAGATAGTCTGATACCAAATGCAATGTCAAATCAGAAAGGTTGCCAAATAATGTGACACAGAATGCCACCAAACAGAGTGCCCAATAACATGTTAGGAGCGCCTGTAAAAGCGCGGCGCATTCACTGTGTATCTAGTCTGGTAATTTACACTGCTTTGTGATTTGCGAGTTGTTTCATTTGAGCGTTTCTTCACAATTTTTCACCTTTTGCAGAGTCTGCAGCGCAGGTGGCCGATAGCACTGTACAAGGACTCGTTGGCGAGTCGTCTTAAATGCCCTTAACATATGCACTGCCACAACTTTTTTCTCGGACTTTGTTCATCTTCCGATGCGTGTGTGTGTGCGTGCAGATACACTTGCGCTTGAAAGTCATTAACCCCCCACTCAACCAACAGGACTTTTTTTCGGAGCTGAAGATCAGTGTGGGGTGGATGTGGGGTTGGATTGAACATGAAAACATTTCGCCGTCCCCGCTGTCCAACGCGGCGATCTCGCTACACGAGTTTGCACGGAAGTTTTGTATCCCATGAACCCCTTTGCCGGCAGAAGAAGCTGCTGGCGCCGTGGAACTTCTTGTGTTCAAGTGTTGCGCAACTCTCAGCAAACACCCACTAGGTCATTTAGGGTGGAATCATGGCGAATAATGGAAGAAACAACTTGAAAACGCCATGCCCGAGCGCGTCAGGCGGAGACAGTTTTAGGACTTTGAATACCTGAGGATCGGGCTGAGTTCACGCAGCGGTCGCACAGCACCTTCAACCGGTCCACGAAGCCGCCTGGAGGGAAGCGCGCGATTGCGCACACTGGGTGGATGGCGGTTTCAGCGTGGCCTGGCGAACGCGCTTCCGTGTAGACGCTGCCGAGGTTGGAGTTCACCTTCTAGTGCTAGATTCGACGCCGCGCGTTTGCTTGCAAGCTGTCTGGTGTCAATGAGTTTGTTGAGCGACGCAACGTTCACATCCATCTGAGCACAGCGCCCACAAAAGCACTCCGCAACGGCGGCAACGACGCGGGCGCCACCCCGTGTGCGGGGTAGGAGCACCTTGGCTATATGAAACCTATAGACAACTTTACCTATGGGGCGCGCACGCGCCAATCTTAGTGTGTCCGTAGAGAGCCGCCTTACGCGATCGAACGGGTTCATTCTAATGTCTGAGGCCTTGGCTGCTGCCGCAATCTGGGCAGAGTGCTCCCAGCGGTGGGCGTGCCCGCCACTCGCACTCTGGGTCACGGTTGGGCGGCGGTGTGTCCTGTCAGAGTTTTCAAAGGGCGCGTCTTTAATTCGCGCCTCCCGTTGTCGCGCCTCGCGTTGTTCCCCGCGTTTGAGGCAAAGAGGAGACCGGAAGTCTGTGAAGCTGGGGTCAACCTGGTCACTGAAATTCTTAATACACTCAAGTCGATGGTTTCTGCACGGACACCTCCGCTTGCGGTGCTCGCAACCCGGCGAGCTCGTCGGCGTCCAGTACCTCACATGACCCAAGTTTTGGGCTATCCGAACAAGGCACGCGCTGAAGATCAGCCCCCCATCTTCCAACGCGTGCGCGCATGTAGCTTCATCTTAGATGCACTTGCAATGGAACTTCATTAGGTTGGAACACTTCTCAGACAGATTGCAGCCAGAGACAAGTGTCGGCGCACTTGTCAGACGTGATGACAACGCAAATATCAGACTACATGCTAGAAAACATATCAAAGTACACCAAACACATGTCCAGAACACGTACCGGAACAACTGCAGATTTGATGGCCAGAACGCGTGACAGAACCCATGTCAGAACACAAATCAGAAGAAAAATGCACCATGGTAGAATGCTAGATCGACTGCCAAATACAATGTCAGATAGACCCCAGAGAAGAAGCCCGAAAAAATGCCAGATAGAGTGCCAGCTCAAGCCAGATTGTACGCAGGTACAACGTCAGATAGAATGCCAAGTAGAACGCCGAATGAAATGTCAGAAATAGAATGCCTGCCAGTGTCTGCCAGACGACCTGTGAGATAGGAAGCCAGAAGAACCCGACAAGCAATGCCAGATTCAATGTTCCAGGAACAATGTCACACAGAAGGACGCGTAGACTGCAAAGAAAGATGCCACATGCAATGCAAGAACAATTCCAAATAGAATACCAGAAAGAATGCACATGCTTGGCGCCCGATAAACATGTAATAAATTTTAAAGAAGTCACAGTACAATGCCAGATAGACTGCCAAAAATGCCAAATAGTATTGCAGGTACCCTGACACAAACTGTGAAGCAGAATGCCAGATAGAATGCCACACATTGACAGGTAAAATGCCAGAAAAACATGTGAGATAGCTGCCAGAATGAATTCCGAAACGCATGTCAGAATACCCAATGTCAGAAAGAATGCCAGAAACAAAACGTCAGCAAGAATGCCAAATAAAATTCCAAACAGAATGTCAGGCAAAAACCTTGCCAGAAAATATGCGAGATAGAATGCCAGAGAGGCCAGATAGAATGCCAGAACAATTTCAATATCAACAGTATCAGTAATGGCAACAAGGGACAAACAGAAAGAATGCACAGTGATACTTTTACAGATTGCCAGAAGATAGAAAGGCAGGTGCAGTGTCGGATAGATTCTTTTCTTTCTCGTGCCAAAGGTGTGCTAACTAACCGGCACTAACTCAAAGTTCTATGAAAGAATCTGTCACACCCGCAGGCACCCCTAAAAGGCCAGCATCAATCAGTACAGCTTGCGCAGCAAGTCGATAATAAGAACCACACAAAGCCATTAAATTTAGTATCTAAGTAGTAGCGAAGTCCAGGTCAAGCCTGGTGAGAACTTGCTTTTCAATACAAAATCATCAGAATTCAGAGTTTCTAGCCGCATTTAGGATATAAGTCAGCTGTTCATTGGATTTAGAAAATTCAATATTTGGGCAAAGAACATACCAAACACAGTTGAGCGAAGAATCAAGCCATTTTTGTCTGGGCCTACCCACACGACGAAACATGACTTCAAAAGGAAAGCTCACATTCCTAAGGGGTGGCTATGGTCTTGACGCAAAATGCACCCAGTCAACGCAATTCTCCGCTTGGTCGCTTGGCGAGGGTATCTCTTATTCTGCACACAACACTATTTGGGCTCTTTCGTGCTCTAGAATTGCAAAATTTCCTCTTCTGAGTCATCTGAGCACTTCATTATTGGTGTTCGCTCTGTTCACAAAGGTGGGTTCCATGCGAAGAATCTGACGTAAACCTTTGAAATGGAAAGATTCGAGACGCGACATTTGCGCGTCAGGGATCTCTAGTGTTTGGAGTCCGTAGAGGAGTCTAGATTTCATGGTTGCATTGAAAATTCTGATCCTGTTCCCTGCTGTACGGTGAGCTTGTTTCCAATAAATGTGTAAGATAGATTGTCAAATAGAATCCCAAATGAAATCCCATATGTGGGATGAGATGGAAGGTCAAAAACATGCGACATAGAATGTCAGAAGGAATAGCAGCTAGAATGCTAGAGTCCATGTCAAACAGATTGCTAGAAAGACTGCCAGATAGAATGTAATTAAGATAGTTAGAGTGCGAGATTAAGTGTGTGATAGACTGCGACTGTGAGATTTGAAACTCGAAGATGTGCCACACAGATTGCCAGAATGTGGAGCAAAACTGTCATGTTCAGGGATCACTCGAAGACATGTCAGGCCAAATCTAAGGAGGATCGCCGGAACGCAAGCCTTACCTGATGCCAGCACAAGCACCGGAACAAGTGTCAGAGCACATGTCAGTAGACATGCCAGAACACATGTCAGAACTTGTCAAACGTATGCCAGAACAAATGTCCGAACGCATGTCGAAATGCATGGGGAAAAACACATATCAGAACAAATGCCGGAGCACTTGTCAGACGTGATGCCAGAACATTATTCTTCATTTCTATTATATATTGTATGGTATGGTGAGTGGTGGCACGGTAACCCCGCCCCGTGCAAGATTCACGAGCAATGTGATGTCCCAGCCAATGTGACATGTGTGTGAAGTTCGTCGATGTTTGTTTTGTTGCTATTGACATGTGACATATTCGCATTCCATTCGTTTGGAACCTTTGAAAACTGACATATGTCAGAGAAAGGAGAAACAGTGTGAAAAACTGTGGGGTAGGCTCCCCCAAAATGACGATGTCTTCACATCATGTCAGATGGTCACAGCTGCTGGATTTCCTGGAAAAAATAATCTCTCATCATATCATCTCTACGGAATCATTTGCTTGAAGGCCCCCACAAACCCGCCTTCTTTTTGAGATTGTTTTCTTCGCTTCATTTTGGTAGAAGGAATTGTGTACCACACGAAAGCGACCCAAAAAACAGCCAGGCCAAACTGTTGAACACAGAACATTTTCTGGGTGATCCTGGCGTGCTTCTTCAGTGCCTCCAACAACTAGAGGGTTGTTGGGCCCTGTTAGGCGTCGGAGAGCGTGGAGATGTACAACGCTCTTGAGGCCGGGGGTTGGTGACGAAAGCTGTCAATAAGATCACGAGCTGTTGGTGGGATCAATAAGACAAAGATGCCAGCGGAAGTTGAGACGTCCATCCCCCCACGAGCGTGAGAGGCCCAACCTGCCGGTGCTGTGCGGGGCAGGGGCCTCAGTAAAGCCAACCACAGCAACAGCAACAACAGCAACAACAACAACAACAGCAGCAGCAACAACACTAACAACAGCAACAAACAACAAACAACGAAACAAACAACGTACAACAAACAACAAACAACCAACAACCAACAGCAACAACAACGAACAACAACAACAACAACAACAACAACACAACAACAACAACAACAACAACAACAACAACAACAACAACAACAACAACAACAACAACAACAAACAACAAACAACAACCAACAACAACAACTACTATTACTACAACTACAAAAGCAAAAAACAACAACAACAACAACTGCAACAACAACTGCAACAACAACAACAGCAACAGTAGTAACAACAGCAACGGCAGCAACAGAAACAACAACAAACAACCAACAACAACAACCACAACAAAACAACAACACACAACCCACAACCAACAAAAAACAACAACAACAAAAACCAACAACAAACAACAAACAACCAACAACAACAACAAAACAACAGCAAACAACAAACAACCACCACCAACAACAACAGCAACAACAACAAGAAGAAGAAAACATCAACAAACAACCAACAACCAACAACCACCACAAGAAAACAACAACAACAACAAACAACAAACAACCAATAATAACAACAACAACAACAACAAAAAGAAGACAACATCAACAAACAACCAACAACAACAAAACAACAACAACAACAACAACAAACAACCAACAACAACAACAGCAACGCCAACAAGAAGAAGAAGAAGAAAACATCAACAAACAACCAACAACCAACAACAACAACCACCACAAGAAAACAACAACAAACAACAAAAAACAATAACAACAACAACAGCAACAACAACAAAAAGACAACATCAACAAACAAACAACAACCAACAACAACAACAACAACAACATAAAGAAAACAACAACAAACAACAAACAACCAATAACAACAACAGCAGCAGCAACAACAACAACAACAAACAACGACAACAACAACAACAACCAACAACAGCCAGCAACCAACAACAACAGCAACAAGAAAACAACAACAAACAACAACCACCACCACCACCAACAACAACAAATCATCAACAAACTACCAAAAACCAACAACGAACAGCGCCGAGTCGCCTGTCTCGCAAGGTGAAGACATGAAAAACATGTCCCGGCTTGAACTCCGCCGCGTCCGCCCGGAGAAGACTCATCGTAAGGTCTTGAGCCCGGCGCGACAAAGACAGGATCCAAAGCTTTTTAGTATACAAAGCTTCTAAGACCG